AAACCCCTCTCTTATCCAAGGATAGTCAGTGGTGACCTCAAGGAGTCGACACCCACAGCATAGTTTACAGCCAGTCCTAGAGCCAGCTCTGGAGTGCCAATAACTGCCAGGATTCCCTGATATTTTCATCCCAGACTCTCCAGATCAATACACTTTAGTATGAAAAAGGCCTCCCCTCTCCCATCAATCCCCCAAAACATAACCAGCCTATTTCATGGAAAAAATCAGCTAAGCAAGGATCTAATGAGCCCGTTTTCCACTTCCAGTAACAATGCAAGTTCAGTTTGCAGCATCTAAAATGGTAAAAATCACAATAGTAATACAGGAAGCAACAGAAATGACATTTTAAAAGATTTGATTGATGATAAAGCCCACGGGGAAAAAACCACGGAGCTTCAGAAGAGGTAGGAACTACTCATTGAAATAAAGACCTTGAGACTGAAAGGTCTTAATCCTGGGAAATAAAAAGGAGGGGAAAAAAGAAAATAAAAAGATGAAAATAATTTCTTGGACTTTTGTTCCTACAGAACAAAAATAATTCAACCCAACAACAAAAAAATAAATGTAATGCTATTGAGGCTGCAGTTTCCAAGTCCTAAAAGCCATAATGCATTCTGGCTAGAAAACAAATTTTCTCCCCAGTATTACAGGATTTAAGAGCAGCAGATTTTGTCACTGGATTTAACATGATGAATCAGGTAAATTGGAGGCTGAATCATCATTATATCCCCAGGCATCTGCAGTGAAATAGGAAGGAAAGGAAAATAAGAAATTAGAGAAGCACCTAAAGAATGTTCAGGAAATCACAGGAAGACACAGTGTGAAGTGAAAATCACACCATTTTTTTAGGGACACGGGTTCGGGGAGCTAAAAGAGATACAAGAGAGGGGTTTCTGAGCCTCCCCCAGAGCTGAGGCTAAAACTCAAAAACCACAAAGTCAACCCAAGAAAAACAGGAAGAACAGGAAGAATCTCTGTGTAAGTGATTAGATGGATGTAACAAACTGAAATCTCATGAAATTATGAAGAATTAATCTGAAATAACTCCACCAGCAGCTGGACCAATAACCATGTCTCCAAGTGTCACATCTACATGTCTTCTAAACCCCTTCAGAGATGGGGACTCCACCCGTGCCCTGGGCAGCTGTGCCAGGGTTGGACAACCCTTTCCATGAAGGAATTGTTCCCAATATCCAACCTGAAATGCCCCTGACACAGCTTGAGGCCATTTCCTCTCATCCTGTCCCTTGTTCCCTGGGAGCAGAGCCTGAACCCCCCTGGCTCCCTCCTCCTGTCAGGGAGTTGCAGAGAGTGAGAAGGTCCCCCCTGAGCCTCCTTTTCTCCAGCTTGAGCCCCTTCTGCTCCCTCAGCCAATCCTGGTGCTCCAGACCCTTCCTCAGCTCTGTTCCCTTTCCTGGGTACACAAAGCATCCAAAACTTGGAAGTGCCAGATGGCAGCAAGGTCCCAGGTAGATCCTGTTTTAGCTCTGACTCACTTCAAAAGTGCCTTGATATTTACTTGACAGTCATTTCAACTTCTTGCCTTTGGAATTTGTCATCTGCATTTTAGATTTGAATGTCCTCTATCCATCCAAAGTCTTGTGTGGGGAATAGCACAGAAGGGATTTCCAGAGACTCTCTGTGGGGAGAACTCCAAGGGTTCCTTGCATGCACCTGCAGCCACAGTTACCTGGGCCTGTCCCCAGGGAGAACACAGAGCATCAGCTTCAAAGGTGCCAGTCCCCAATTCCAGAGATCTAAAAGCCAAAGCACAGCTACTCTGAAACTTAAAACAAGGGAAATGTAGCTCTGTGAATTTACATAACAGAGAAAGAGTGGGAAGAAAACTTGCTCAGATCTTGTCTATGTCAAAACAGAGTTCAGTGAGACAGTGAAAATGTGATCTGAGATTGTGATTCAGAAAGGAGAAAAACAGGCTGGAACTTGAGCAGAGCTCCCTCAGTTTGGGCACCAAACCACCACAATATAGGAAAGATATGAAGCCATCAGAGAGTGTACAAAAGACAGCAATGAAGATGGGGAAGGGCCTTGATTTGAAGCCCTGTGAGGACACTGAGAGCACTTGGTGTGTTCAGCTGGAGGAGACTGAGGGGAGACCTCATTGTAGTTACAGCTTCCACGGGAGGGGAAGAGGAGGGGCAGGCACTGAGCTCTGCCCTGTGAGGAGAGGGACAGGACCCCAGGGAATGGCCTGAAGTCATGTCAGGGGAGGTTTAGGTTGGATCTCAGGGAAAGGTTCTTTCCCCAGGGGATGGTTGGGCACTGAACAGGCTCCCCAGGGCAGTGGGCACAGCACCAAGGCTGAGAGAGCTCCAGGAGTGTTTGGATGATGCTCTCAGGTTCATGGTGTGACTCTGTGCAGGGCTAAGGGTTGGACTTGATGATCCTTGTGGGTCCCTTCTGACTCAGCATATTCTGTGATTCAGGACAGGCAGAGAGGGGGCATGTCCTCAGCACCCAGGGTAACACTGCACATGTTCATGGCCAAGCAGCAAAACCACCAAAGTACTTCAGTTTAAAACTTCTCCTGAGCAGCCTTTCAACCTTCAACCAAACATCAGCTCATTAGCAATAGGTCAAAGCCACATGGTATTTAACTCTGGATTAAATATCACTCTCATTCTCAGCGGGGAGCCAGGGCATTAACATATGTCTTGTCATGTATTTCCCCCTCCTGTTACATCCAGTGAATTATGCCTCTTTCCAAAGTCTTTCCTGAGATCTTATGGGAAAAGAAAACCCATGTCAGTGGGGAGAGAATGAGCCTCAGGAGAGAGACTGCAGCAGGGGAAAACAGTTCTTCCCTCTTCGCAAAACTGTGCCCACTGTGAGGTTGCAGAGAAACCAAAGCAAGGATTTTCTCTTGATTCAACATACCTTTAGCTTTCCTAAAGATTTCACTGATTGCAAGACTTCATTACCATTAATTAATACAGGCTTGAAACCACAGGTTGTTTCATCCACACTGGTGTCCATCACAGACTAATAAAACATCGAATAGAATCACAAATCCCAAAATGGCTGGGGTTTGAAGGGACCTCAAAGCTCACCCAATCCCACCCCCTGCCATGGACAGGGGCACCTTCTGCTATCCCAGGTTGCTCCAAACCCCATCTAACCTGGCCTTGGACACTTCCAGGGATGGGGCAGCCACAGCTTTTCTGGACAACCTGTGCCAGGGCCTCACCACCTCACAGAGAAAAAATCCTTCTAACCCTGCCCTCTGGTAGTGGGAAGCCATTCTCCCTTGTTCTATCCCTCCAGGCCTTTGTAAATAGTCTTTCTCTGTGTTTCCTGCCAGCTTCTTCAGGCACTGGGAGGCCACAATTAGGTCACACCAAAGCTTCTCTTCTCTAGGCTGAATCAATCCCAATTCTCTCAGCCTTTCCTCACAGCAGAGCTGCTTCATGCCTCTGATCATCTTGGTGTCTCCTCTGGACTTGCTCCAGCAGCTCCATGACCTTCATCAGCTGGAGGCAGCTCTGCAGGTGGGGTCTCACCTGAGGGGACAGAGGGGCAGAATCGCCCCTCCCCTGCTGCCCAGGCTGTGGAATCAGCCCATAAAACATGATAATGATATATGGATATCATGACAGTGAAAATAAAATGCCTGTAGGCATTTCCGCTTCTAACTGGCAAAACTAAATACCTAAATTTCCCAGTTTCTCATCTTTGCCACTTCTTTTCCCATTTTGCAATAAATATCTTTCACCTGGTGACAGGATATTCCAAAGCCTTTAAAACAAAACTAAGTGCTCAAACATTCCTCTTGCACAGAAACATTCCATCTCTTTCACGTTACACTGAAAGCATTCGGGCACATATTTCAATGTTAAAAACGTTGATTTTTCTTCTACAAAGACAGAGATGTTGTGGCTGCAGCAGCTGCTGTTCACAAACAACACATTAATAGTCAACTTGAGCAGAAGTTATAACCTCAGGTTTTAAGGTGCAAGAGTCTCTTAACCAGAACTTGTTGAATGATACAAAACTATTATTTATTTTCATGCTACCTATAGAAAGACATCTGCATGTTCAGTAACAGCTGAGGGGAGCTTGGTAGAGCAGATATAAATACTCCATGGATTATCCCAAGAGCGTTTGGAGCTGGAGATGTTTGTTTTCACCTTGAAGTGATAAATACAGAGAGAGAAGTCAAACTGCATCTGTGAGACACAAAAAAATATTTCAAACAAATCTTTAAGGTCCCTCCCAACCCAAACCACCACACAAACATTTCCCGTGAACAGCCGGGATTTCACCCAGGAAAGTGTTTTCTAGAAACAAAGGATTTGTGCAGTTTGCAATGGGGCTTTATACCCCAGTTGACTGTCAAATACCAGAGTCCCAGAGAGATAAAAGTGAGGTTTAGGTCATCAGGAAGCTATTTCATGTTTTTTTCAAGTGGCCTTTGACAGAGCCAAGATGTGTTCAGAGGTGAACAGAGGAGGTAAGAGGGGATCTTCTAGCCCATAGTACAGCAGTCAAAATAATAGTGAAATTTATACATGTAAGAAGCTGCATCTTATACCAAGCCTACAACACCCAACCTCTCTCTAGGTTTCAAAACCCTCCAAGACTGTTAAAGTTCCCTTTTAATTTTGCCTGCAATCCCCCCTGGAAGGTCTCTGGTTCTATTAATGGCTCTCATCTATCATTTAAGCCCAGAGCCCCTTTCTATCAGCTCTGTGATCAGGGAGTAAATGATCCTGACAAAACAACTTTGGTTCTTATGGCTTTCTAATCATTTTGTTATTATGGAGTTCTGGTTGCAGTGATAATTCTGTGATTTACAAGTTGTTCTTCTGGTTAGAGGATATTACCGTAAGTGGCACCAGCAAGATTTAATATTTATGGTGGTGTGTTCACATAAACACAGAGAATTTTAATTTTAGGTAGGTGCATGTGTTTTATGAATGAATGCCTCCTGCCAAAAATGAACCTTTCCTTAAGAATCCCAGGATCATTGAGGAAAAGACCTCCAAGATCATCAAGTCCAAACTTTGACCAATCCCCACCTCGTCACCCACCCCAGAGCACTGAGTGCCACATCCAGTCATTCCTTGGACAACTCCAGGGATGAGGACTCCACCACTTCCCTGGGCAGCCCCTTCCAGTGCCTGACAACCCCTCCTGTGAAGAAGTTCTTCCTGAATTAATCAATAAGAAATTAATTCCACTGGGACAATCAGCCTTCCTTACCCAGGAGTCCCAAGGATGTCTGTCGATCAAGGACAGGCAGAGTGATACTTTACAGACAAATGTGTCTCCTGCCATTTCAGGCCCTAAAATCAAGTTATTACTAAAAACATAAAAGTCTAAAGACCAGAGGACAAACTCTAACGATTGGACCAAAGCAGTCAGTGACACATGGGAACATGACCTGGTGGTGAACATGGTGGTGGTGCTGGTTGATGGTTGGATTTAATAACCTTAACTTTGATTTCCAACCTTAATGACTCTGATTCAATGATTCCATAATCATTATTTATTTGTAGCTGTGCATCCAACCAAGCTGTTTGCTGGGGAAGGAGCCTCTGGTTGCTCGTGTTGCCCAGACCTGGAGGATTTGGGTGCCAATGTGATGCCACAAATCCTCTCATGGGCTCTGCTTGGTGTGGCAGTGACCACTTTGGAGCATCTCCATGATGGGCATAGACACTGCAGTGCTGTGGAAAAACCACACAATGGTTTGGGGGATAAAAGAAAGACTGTGATAAAGCCATCAGAGGGTTGAGCCTGTGCCCAGCCTGCCTCCCATCAGGTGCTTCTGATCATATATCCAAGAGGCACTGGTGAGATCTATATTATCTATGACAACTTTGACTGTTATAAAGATATATAATCTCATCTAAAGATGGTTCACTTATAGAGAAAGGTATCCCATAGGAGGGGAAAATGTATTTCGGTTTGTGGTAAAATTATTTTAGGGATCACTGATACAATTTGCCAACACTGAGAACTGTAGTTTTCGTTGAGTAAATGGTTCTGATTCCCAAATCCAAACTCTGCACCACTGAAAATATCTATTAAATACTGTTTGTTATCCTGCATTTTATTAATTATACAAATACTGGAGACAACCTAGAGCCTTTTCTCACCTTTTTGAATGGCAGTAAAACTTTAAAGGCTATCATTAAACCTGGGAAATGCTACCTGTCCACACAGGGGGATCCATGGCTTTCATGTACCTTCTCCTGGGGGATACTCTTCTGACTGGTACCAGTAAGAAATGGGAACAAGCAGCATTCCTGGCCCCTCCATGGCTTCTCTGAATCTCAGCCTCTGCTCAGGTCCCTGCAAGAAAGAAGATGAAAATTCACTGATATGCTTAGATATATCAAATTTCTTGGCAACCAGGAGATTTTGGGCCATGGGGCAGCTTTGGATCCCCAAGAAAAGTTTCTCTAGTTTAAACCTCAGCTTGCAGTGAGTTCTCTCCTTCCTCACTGTTTCCTACACTGATTTCCAAGATCTCTTTTTGCTTCTACATTCCCATTCCTGCCCAAACAGCTTCTTCTGACCAAGAGAATCTTTTCCCTGAGCTCATACTCTGTCTTTTCCAGAGAGCAATTTTATTTTACACTCACATTTCCTAATTTCTTCTGTATTCAAAGTCTTGTGTTTCATTCCATGATCTCTGATTTTAAATAATTCTTTCTCTAACTCAATCTAGAGAGAAACCCCACTGGAGGAGCCGTTTCCATGGCAGCTCCAGAGCAGAGAGGCTTAAGACAGGGAGAAAATTGCTGCTGGAACTTCTTTAATGTCACTACTCAAGTTTCCAGGGTTTTTTTCAGTTCTAAAACAGGAAAAACACTGTTGTGATCCCAACACCGATTTCTTAGGTGATGCTTTTGTGAGGGAGATTAATGTAGATGCTCACAGAGCTTTGCTCTGTCTGAAAGTCAAGATTAATTACTCCTCTAAGGCAACCACATGTGAGGAGTCCGACAGCATCGATGCTCCAGTGGCTCTTGGGTGGGAAGACACTGACAGATTTTCCTGGATATTCTCTGTTAAATGGCTTAAGTAGCAGCAAATACTAAGAATTATGTAGATTTATGATGTATTTTGCTACAGAGAACACCAGCCCTGAAAACCAGGAGCCTCCTGGTGCTGCACAGTGGGAAGAGCTGCTCCTGGGAATGTGCTGCGGGACAGATTATTAAAAATAAAAGTTTACTTATTCGTTAAAAATAAATCTTACACATGGAGGAGGAATATAAATTGTATTAGCTTGTGATGCAAACAATTCTCAAAACTTTCTGTCAGCAGCCTTAGTTTTGATGACATCCTGCGAGCTGAGGGACAGGAAAGAGTGAAATGTTGGGCTTGTTCTAGTTAAAAAAAAAAAAAAAGGAAAAAAGCAAATCTCTGTGGGGCCATGGAGCCACATCCTGTGCCACATCTGCAGCTCCAGGGCTGATCTTTATCAATGACACAGCCGTGGATAACCTCCTCCTGAGGGGAGCAGAGCAGGTGTCCTGGTTGTATCCACGTGGGCAGAGTCCAGGGTGGGATCTCTGGGACACCAGAGCACACTGGCACCAAAGTCAGCCTGGGGGACACGACTTTGAGCCTGGCTCAAGTTAGGGATGCACACAGACCCCCTGTCATCTTCCTGCTGTGGTGGTTCCACCACCCTTCAGAGCACACTCAGCCTGAGCAGAAGATACCAGGGAAGTGAATTAACACACTGGGTTAAAAAAAAAAATTTAATTAATAGTTCCAGGAGAGGGATAAAAATAGACTTAAACCCAACCAATCCTCTGTGTTTTTGATGACATTGGAACACTCACAGTCCATGGTGTCTTCAACACATCCAAGAATTCTCCTCCAGTGAGGAAATTCCCCCTCTGGGCACCCTTTGGCTCTCTTGGAACTTCCATCCAACCATGAACTTCAAGACAGACACTTTGTGTGAGGCTTCAGGAATCTCTGATCCCATCCCAAAATTCCCTGATGCTCTCCCAGCAGGTCAGGGTTGTGGGTTCCATGGGGGGATATCACCATGGGCTGGCCTGGCAGGGACTGTAGGAGATTGTGTAACAAAACAGGCTTGAGCTTCACCACTGTTATTGGAAATATAATAATTTTTTCCACAAATTGTCCTGAAATTAGGAAGGTTAGGAAATTAGGGAAAAAACCAACTGTCCTAGTAAACAAATCTCTTACAGAAAAAGTAAAAAAAAACCAAAACAAAACAAAACACAAAAAACCCCCACAAAAACCCAAAACAAAACAAACAAAAAAATAAAAACCACAACAACACAACTTTCTTTTCATGAATAGCCTTTCATGGAGGCCTTATTACTGCAGACTATTACAACTTCAAGGCTTCTATCTAAAACTTCTCTAAGGGGGATAAATGTCCTGTTAAACCAGTCCTACATCCCTGAAATCCTGCATTTTAAAGTCACCCTGGAGGCCAGAACTCACAGAATTCTCTCTACAACTTCTACTCTCTTATGAACCTCTGTATCAAAAAGTCTTTCTAGTCCAGGTTGTTGTGGCTTCAACAAAGACTCCAAATTTTGTCAGAAAAGATCTTGCAGAGGAAATTTGGAGAGGCAGAAGTGGGTGTTTGTTGCAGACAGGATGACACTGTATTTTTTAACGTGATTCTTACTATAGTTTCATGTTCATCATAAAATCCCACAGTCATTTGGGTTGGAAGGGACCTAAAAGACCACTCAGTCCCACCCCCTGCCATGGGCAGGGACACATTCCACTAGATCAGCTTACTCCAAGCCCTGTCCTACCTGGCATTGGACACTTCCAGTGACACTTGGACATTTCCCGGCAGCACCAGCCAACTCCTCAGATGCTGCAGGGCAGGATGAGGGGACCTGCAACATCCCAGAGAAGCTGCTGTTGGATAGACCATCAGGGATGGTGTGTGATGCCAGGAGCCACCCATGTCCCAGGTTTCAGAGACAACAAATGTTCTTCTGTTACCCCTCAGCACACCCTCAGTTCTGCAGGAACCCAGATTTATCAACAGCTCAGCCAAGATCCCAGAAGTGCATCTCTTGTTTATAGACACTTCTCTTCTTCAAAGAGCCTCAGAATTAAATTTTGCTCTTCATTCAGAGACACACAGACACAATCCCCAGGGATTCATTAGTGGCACAGAAGAAGCTTTTCCAGCACCCGGTGCTGCAGGAGGCAGGTGGGGAATTTATTTTCCAGTCCTGTCCAAGGTCTGCTGGCACCATCTCATCCAGATGCAGAGCTGTGCTTGTAAGGATTAGATTCTGGGGATTAGACTTTGTTTGTGTTTACTCTTGCTTTATAAAATCAAAAAGTCATTTGAAATCTTAAAGTGATTTACTATTAGTTGCTATTACATTTTTCTTTATCACCAGGTAGAAAATTTCTTATCATCAGATGACAGACATTTCTATGCTTTTTTTTTAAAACTTTTTGTTGCTTTTTCCAGGATTAATTCCTCTTGGAATTTACAGTGGCAGTGTCATATCACACATTTTTGGGTGCACCGTGAGTGTCCCTTGCACCAGTGTAGCACCAATGGACCTTGTCCCTTCCACTCCTGCAGGCCACACAACAGAGCAAACCCTTCCCATCTCATCCTTCTTCATCCTCAATTCATAGAATCCTAGAATGGTTTTGTTTGGAAGGGACATTAAAGCTCATCTACTCCAACACCCTCCCATGGGCAGGGACACCTTCCACTAGCTCAGGTTGCTCCAAGCCCCGTCCAACCTGGCCTTGGACACTTCCAGGGATGGGGCAGCCACAGCTTCTCTGGGCAACCTGTGCCAGGGCCTCACCATTTGCCTTAAGTGCTGTGGTTTTGGGGTGATGGGCTTTAATAATCCCCACCAGCTGCAGAAAAAAATGAATACAGAACATCTCGATCATGATTAACCTTATAACTAAAATCCACCAAAAAATTTGCTAAAAGTCTGAGGGCATCTACACCCCAGATGTGCTGGTCACAAGCCTGGATGCGCCCATCTCTCACTGGCAGTCCCTTGGTGGGAGAAGCCATCCAAATGCCCCTTCCATCCAAGCCATGCCCTTCTCCACGCTCTGGACCCTGTTGTGCAGAGGGAAGAAGGACACAGGGATATTTGGCTGGTTAACCCCCCA